ACACACACACACACAAAGCAGATAAACGTATCATGTCCCATTTCAACAGTGCGGCAGGGTGAATATTGCCTTTCTCTATGACTAAGACAGTATCATTACTCATTGTCCCATTTTGAAGCTGGAACCACAATGTGTGAACGGATGTCAAATTCTCTTCCAGAGGAGCACAGGGGAGCAATCACCGACCCTCTGCGGGAAGCAAAAGCAAACCTGGCTGGCCGCAAAACTTAACAAGAAGGAATCAACAGACAAGCCCTGAGGGATTTGGCAGCAAGGCAGGGGAAGACCACACAACCACGAAGTCCAGCAGTCCCTATGTATTGTTGGGTGTGTATGCTTTTGTGTGTATACAAGTATGTGTGGTCTTAGGCATATGTGAAGCTTGTGGGCTTCCCCAGTGCTTCTGATTGGCTCAAACTGCAGACATAGAGGCTGCAGTCGCTGGGCTTGGCAGCAGAGCACAGCTTTTCTGAGTACTGATGCTGCACCAATGGGAGAGCAATCACAAGGTACCAGGTTTACATTACGGCCTGAATATCACCAGGTCAGGTAAAACAGAGGATGGGCAAAAGGGAGGACAGAAAAAAGGTACAAATTCACCGGCCTACAGTCCTATGACGTGCTGTTCTGTGAACTGATGTGACCCAATTAGAAACTGACTGGGTCAGAGAATCTCCAAAACTGCAGCTCTTTGTGGGTTGTTCCCCGGTCTGCCAGTGGTCCAAGTTACCTATCAAAAGTGGGTCCCAAGGGAAGGAAAAGCGGTAAATCGAAGACCAGGGTCATGGGTGGCCAAGGCTTTACTGATGCACGTGGGCAAGCCCCAAAAGGCTTGACCCGTGGTGTCCGAGCCTACTGTAGCTTGAAAGAGTTAATGTGGTTCTTACTGATAGAAAGGTGTCAGAAGACACAGTGCATCACAGTTTGTTGTGTACGGGGCTGCATAACATTCTGACCAGGTTGTACGCATGTAGATATGATCATCTGCTCTGGAAAAATAGACTCAACACTCAAAACATCACTGCAAGTCCGTTTTGCTTTGCATCTGGTAAATCTGCACTGTCGTGTCAGCTTGACCTACCAACAGTCGAGTTTCAAAATAAATACGCACCTAAAATACTATTCAAATTTTCCAGGATAACATAGATTGTTTCCAAGATATTTGGTCATATTTATCAATTTCCAGGTTTTCCAAGACACATGGGAACCCTGCAAGGTCCATTTATTAGCTCTTCTAGAGCTTTCAGTCATATCATATCATCATATAACATATTCTCACCAGCAGATGGAGTTTTTGATACAAAGTGACACACTCGTTTGTAGATTCAGAGGTGTTAATTTTCTTCATTTCCTGTTTTGAACTTTGAACTGCTTACTGGCAGATCTCTATGAACTTTCACACTTTCATTCCAGTCGTCTATAAAACTTTGTGAAATTGAAAGCTCTACATTATGCAGCGATCATTTTCATTGGGAGAGCAGGTGAGTAATTGCATACTTTTTCTAATGTGCTACATTTTTATTTTACTTGGGAAATTTTTCGAGACAAGGACTTCACCCACTTCCTGAGCAGAATTTAAATGAGGGAGCAGTGCATTTATTCGAGTCAAACATTTCATTGCTCTTTCCACCTCTGCCCCTATCTGTGCTGGCTCTCCCAGCCTGCAGCACATACAAAGAAAGCTGGGGGGCTTAGACGGAAAGTGAATGCAAGTGCAAGTCTGTCACTATATATGTATGTGTGTGCGTGGGTGCATGGCTGTGTGTACGGGGTGAGGAATCAGTCTTTGGAAAGCTGCTTAGGCAGCAATGACTAAGACAATGGGCCCTGTAAGCCACTTCAGCAGGATTACAATGAACCACTTGGCTAAGTGACACCAGGACTTTCTTCATTCAGCTGTGTGGAAGCCGGCCACCGAGATGACAGGGAGAGCGTGACCTTTGCCCTTTGTTTCTCTGTAACCACTGCAAGTGCCTCTTTCAAGTTCTCCTGCAAATATCAAAGTTTTAACTTTTGACATCATCAGGTGCTGGTAAACAGCAGCCTGTGAGTCCCTAATCAACACTGAAGTATCTACAAAGAAGAAATGGGGATAGATTAAACCCACACACACATTTACTACCAGGGTTCTGAGCCATTTCTTTGACAGAATTCAACAGCACTACGAATCTATCCACCTTCTACTGCTGCTACTGATTTTCTTTATCAAGTAATCTGTTGATTATTTAGTTTAAATAACTATTGTTTTTAAGATGACAAGAAATCTGAATTTGAGAAGGTAAAAACAGAGAATGCTCAGACTTTCTGCTTTAAAGGTTACTTAAATGATCAAAATACCCTTTAGATTTTTTTTTATTCTTAGGTCATTTCTATCTGTGTATTCTGTTGAGGTTCTGACACAAACATATCACAGGCAAGTTTGCTGTGTTAAGCTTTCAGTTTTACTTCATCATCGATACCTGAAGGGAAATTCCTTGCGTCATTTCACATAAGCCAAGGTTATTTAATGTTACATTTTGTTTTTACACAAAAATAAAATTGACAACTGTCTTATAATAATAATAAATAAACAAGCCGACTTTTGGTACCTGACAGTTGGATAATCTGTGCTAAAAATACATTAAGGTCAAAACCAATAAAGTATTGAGCTTCAATATCCAGGCCTATACCCCTACCAGCTGATTGCTCAGTAATATCAGTTAGAAGGGTTCATATTTACTAATAGGAAATACATCCTTAAGGAATGAATGTCCCAGTACTTGCTAGGATCTATTATGATGCTGAGTATTTTCCATAGTTGACCCCCTTTTAATGAGTTGTCTCCAAGCAGCAACCTCAGTGCAAATGAAGTCATCACACAAAAACTGCAGTTCCTTTATCAGCCACTTGAGGTTGGCTACAGAAGTGAGTCATTCTCCATAAACCCTCCATTTAAATACCGAGATTTAGAGATGAACTAAACATTTTTACAGCTTGGTACAAAAAACTATTTTGGTCTCTATAGTTCACTTCCCCGTTCATCTGTACGTGGGGTGAATTTTTATTTAACTCATCCATTTAAATTATTAAATTAAACAGCTCTTCATAGACCTATAGGTGATGTCACAGAGACTACGTCCTTTTTAATTATACAGTCTATGGTTGTCTCAAATTTTGTTCTGCATGTTGGGTTAAAGAAAAAAACAACATCTGTTTTTTTATTGATGTCAGTGTCACCTTTGCCATGGATTTAATGGTTTCCTTTTGACTATTTCCCATGTGTTCAAGCGACTACATGCCTACCTTTCCTGGTGTCCCAAGTCTTGCAAGAGCGTGTCGGCATACTTCTGCCTCTCGCTGGGCTCAACGATAGCCAGTTTCTTCACCTCGCTGCGGACAAAGTACCAGAACTCCTTAACGCCATTCTCCACCCTCCTCCGCAGCTCCTCCTGAGTAGGCCCAGGGCCTGCAGGGGGAGTAAAAGAGAACATCTCATAACAAAGATACTCAGCTGGCATGAAATTTGAGGCACAGGTATGATATAAAACAATGATTTGATGACGTCAACTTCAAAGTACCTGCATGGGAATACACCTGGGAGAAAAACTATAGGAAATAAAGAGGTCTTTAGGAATGTTTGAGCATTAGATTATGTGAGCCCATACAGGCTAATGGCACAAAGCAAGGTTTCGGAATATAACTATTAAATTCTTTCTCTTTCATATTTTGTCCCTGAGTGTTGCTTTGACCTCATTAAGGAGCACTTCACTGTTTTTGTGCCTCATGGCTCTCTCTCGTGTGTTTTCTCCCACAGTTCTAACAACAGGAAGGAACTCTATACCCCACCCGAGCTAAACAATGTGGAGTAACCCACATGGATAACACAGCTGCCTGCTCTGGTTTCTGCAGAGAGAAACAAACAAAAAAAAAAAAAAAATCGAGAAAAGGGAAGGACAGCCTCAAGGAGGAGAAGAAGATGGTGGTGAAGAGGGAAAAGCTTTTTTACTTTCCTATCTTGCACTCTCTCTTCACTCTCTCTTCTCAGTCCCTCCTGTGGTGGAAAAAAGCTTTAGGGTATTTTTAGCTTTTTCTTCCCCTGCGGCAAGATGGAGAGGCTGACCCCGTGCTGCCCTCAACGCTCACATGTCCTTCTTTATTTTCTCTCTGTCTGTCTCTTTTCTCTCTCCTCTCTCTCTCCCATTCTACCATTGGGGCATTCACACTGCTTCCACTTCATTCACACATTTCTCCACTCACCTGACAGCTTTCCTGCCCCTCTGACCACTGCTTAGAGTGGCAAATACACACATAACCCTGCCCATCCGACGGTGTGGCTCTGCCATCATCACTGCTGAGCTACAGCAGGTTTAACACTGGACTAGACTGAGATTCTCGCTGCAGGCGAAAGCTCACAAGAGCCTTTGACTGGTTTTTATACCTTATATAGTCAACCCCTGCACCTTCAAAATCAATCCTTTCATATTCCCAAGCTCTGTGCTAAATCCTTCCCAGCAACCTTTCAGATAGCCCAGCCCTGCTTACCATCTCCAGTGAGTTTCTGGAAGCTGTGGATCTTCTGTTTGGCTCTGGTTAACTGGTCCTCCAGGGAGCGCAGTCGCCCTGCAGCCAGGGACCCGGCTTCTGCCTGACCCTCTGGTATCCTGGGTGGGAGGGAGAAAGACACAAGGAGAGGATGTAATGGGTGAGCATTGAAGCATGTGGACATCGATAGGAGGAAGAGAGTATAAAAATGTCCTACTTTGCAGAAATACTCTGGAATTGTATTCCACTAAAAGGAGAAATCTAATGTGAAAAATAATTCTGGAAAAATGCAATGCAAGTGTATTCATGCAAGTAATAATTACTTTCATTATCAAAAAAGCTATCAATTATTTTTGACCATTCAATTAAGTATAAAAAAAGCCTTTGATCATTTAGTCTAAATAACCCCCCCAAAAACATTATATTAAATTAAAAATGATATGAAACAGATCCAACTTAATGTGAAATTATTGGCTCCACTGTAAAGAATAAAATGCTATTATGCATGATCTTTCCAATGGAAACTTGAAAAGAAGACAAAGTTCAGACTTTTGCTTTGGCAACACCATGGATGAATTAGCTTGAGACAGACACTTTTTTAAAAGAGTCTATACAATAGATGATTGACAGTTTTCTCTCCTTCACTTAAGACTTCAACAACAACCATTCCTACACCTGGCTGAATTCACACACACCACTCGCTTGGCCGCAATTAATCTTTACTCACGATTTTCAAACTGGAAAAACATGGTGGCTGTTCTCGCAAATATTGTGAAATTCCTCTTACACCATCAACCATACATCTGTCGACAGCACTTAAGTTTAATAGTCATCAACGATGTGCAGGAGTTTGGAGAAGCAGCGTGAATGTTTATCATCCCTACATCCGCTGCTTAGTCTGATATGTACTGTCTTTTACTGGGGTGACTCTATTCTTATTAGGAGAATGTTTCCAGACTTAAAAGTTGCAGGGAAAACTGAGCTGTGATGGCTGGCATCTTTTACTGTTCACCAGTGAAATTTCTATTTCATTTGCTGAGACACCACAGTGGAGCCTCTTGGAGCCCTGTCCCAGTTTATTTATTTTAAGCTCTTATCCAGCAAGTACTGGATAATTTCCCATGCCTATCTACCCTTATCTAACCTATCTACTTCTGAACAATACGTCCAAACATTTTATCCAATGACTAGTCTATATACGGAATGTCAAATTATGGACACAAGTGACAGCTACATTTCATTTCTTTGTGAGTTATACAAACTATACAAAAAAGAACAAATTACTATTCTCCTTTGACTGTGTTTGATGGCTCTAAAAATGCCTGCCTGCTGTAATTTAGTAGGCCAACATTTGAACTCTATAGTGGATACAATTTAATTTACTGAAGGGAAAGATATCAAGTCAAAACACACCCAGATAAAATCAACTTCCCAATTAAAACTAGGATCAAATCAAAGCTATTCGAGCACAGTAAATAGATTTAATATAATTTGTAACTGTACTTTGACTATTTATCTGTAGCCGCACAGAAAATCCCCTTTCATTATTACTGTATGCTGACTGGTGCTGCAGTGGTCATGGTGGTCTGTTTTTTCTATGTGTGAAGTTGGATTAAAAAGATCTATTGTTAAACAAAAAATGTTGATAGCTGGCAAACAACTTTTAATTCCCATACATGTTTTTTGCCATTTAGGCACAACTCAGCTATATGGTTTCTGTAGCTCTGAGATCTGTGCTCAAAAGCCTCAAACTTAAAAGGCTTGGAAAAATGTATGGTTGATAATCTTGCAAAGCCTAATTGCTCATTATAGTTGAAATGATGTTTAGGCAGCCTTTCAGTCCATTTAATATAGTCCACATTGATGTTATAATCTATTTTCAAGTGCATATATGTAAAGTGATCCGTGTTAAAACTGTACGTTGTTGTAAGTGTTTTGTCAATTATGGCTCTCTGATAAATACAATATAAATAATAATGTTCCCAGCTCTGTTTCAAGGAACTATGAATAACTACTGCATGCATGGTAATGAAAACACAAATGAGCACTCTGACATGCTGAAATCAGCCAAGGAGAAAAAAAGAACTGCTACTGACATTATACCAAATCAATTCCTCTACATAAAACTATTAAAAATGGAATATGTTCGAATGCACAGGGGCATTGGTGAAGTGCTGCAAAGGCCATGTTAATGAGTCATCAAGGCATGCAAACGCAATTTGCTCGCTGAGTGAGGAACATCAGTCGCTGGCAGGCATAAAGATGAGACTTTTAAAGTTGCAACAGCCCTTCTAGCTGCACAACTCGCTGTTCAAGCCTCAGCCCCTGAGAAGCCCTGGCCTCCCACTTCACTGAGCACTAACTGATCATTGTGCTTCGAAGCCATGGAAATAACTGAGGAGGAAAGGGAGGATATGTTAACTCCCACATTATGTAACCGTGTGATGGACAAAGATAAACCTTTTCATACCTTTGTGGCATCTTGGGTATTTATGTCTTAAATTCACGCTTCCTTTCTATGTGTCGTGACCACTTCACCTGCTTGACACAGATATTTTGAAATAAGACCCAGGTGTATTTCCTTTCCAAGTATCATCTCTACTATCTATTCTCAGTTAAGTCTGTTCAAACAATATTCAACAGGATTTCCCAAAGGCCACACCCTAACCTGCTAGTTACACCATTGTACAGGAAGTAGGATTATTTCCTAAGTGACATCATTTCCCAAGAGGTTTAAGTGCTGCTAAAACTGTAACATAAAGTAACATATCTCCTTGAACAAGGCGGAAGAAATAGGCCAGACCAGCACAGACTAATGAGTAGAGACGTGGTACAGAGGTTAGCTAACACGCTCCAAAGACATAAACTGCTGAGACACAATGCTGGTGCAGGCAAAACACAAGCATCCCCAACCAAGATATGTAGATATAAAATATAACCAAACACTCGGCGGTATCAAAACCCACAGACACACACACAGGAAGGAGGCAAACACCATACACAAATACACAAATGATCCCTGACGATATCTCTAGAGGACCTGAAACGGAGCCTAGACGAGGCAGCTGGATTCAACAGCGTCTTAATCAAACGATACAGGAGAGGTAACAGATAGACAGAAAAACTCTGACTCGGGGGAGGCGGGGCGGAAAGGTGGGGTGGGGGGGAATTCTGCGGAGTGAAAGACAAGCTATGAAAGCAGGGGGCGATGAGCCCCACCGGCACTAAGCACTGAGCCGGAAAGCAGGTGAGATTCAGCATGCATCCTAGTTTCCTCTGAAATGCTGCCCCAGCTGTCGCTCCATCGGCTCCTGTCCCTGCACCCGTAACCATGGAGTTCACTAGGTGATCAGAGTAAGGCGGAGCAGTTTGAATGGTGGGGGCCTGGGTGCCACTGCGGTGCATACATATTTCCGTGGTAAGATTTAATATACTATGGTTGACTTCAAAAGAAAATCCATGTGCTGACCTGAGAAGCCATACATATGGATGGGGATGTAAAGTGTTCTGGGAGGTGTAGATGAAAGCAGGCTACATGAAGGTAATTTGCCTTTACGTTAAGAAAGAACTTTGATCCAATATTCCTATACTCTGCTTGTGTATATGCAGTATGAACATGTGTGGAATGGATGTGTCAAACACCCCACTGACATGTTCCAGCCTTTCCTGGGAACTCACTGTGTTACACCAAACCACTTGACTCCAATAAGTCAAGCTAATAAACCACAGGAATGTACCAGTGGGAAAAAGCATGTTAATGCTACAAATGGACGGAAAAGTCTGGTATTACCATGAAAACCCCCGACCACTGTTGAGAATTGTTTTGAAAGGCCTGTTTGGTGAGTTAATGATAGGAACAATGCTATCCCCATGTATATTTTATGATTGCAATAACTGTATTGCATATGAACTACATTAGATGTGTATGCATTGTGTCAAATCAGTTGATCTTGTCTCTGCGTCTCCTTCTCCTCCTTTTGCTTTATTCATATTATGTCCTCTGACTCAAACAGTATAATTCCAAGTAAACTGATTCTGAATGGTGCATTTTTGCTTCGCATGCTTCAACGCCTCAGTTCATCCAGAGTGAGCCAGCGCCACTCTGAGCCCTACTTGACAGAGATGTCCTGACCACAGACAGCTCCCACAATGGGGCTAGTGTGTGTGGTAGTGGACTTTTTCCCTCGCCGGGCCTGAGCGACGGCCAGGTCGATGGGAGTTCAGGTCTGGAAGCAGCAGCAGCATCTGTTTGGTGGGACCGCACTGGGATAAAACCATTACAGGATAACTGAGTCCTCTCACAGTCTCCCTATACATAACTGAACAGCCTCACCACACAAAACTACATTTTTAGTTGACTTGAAAAATAGGAACCCGAATGAGACATATGCAAAAAGTACCACGTGTAGACAAGATTTTAGTGCAATGACTGCGGTCTCCACAACTCTTCTCATCCCCTCAGACCTCATTTTCATTTCCTCCTTTCTGCTCTTTACTTAGTGTAGTCCCCATGCCATCCATCACGCTCCCCTCCTCCTTTGCCTCCTCTGCATCGCCCCCCTCCCTCCCTCCCTCCATCCCTCTGTTGGCATGCCTAGGGGATCGATCAGGTCCTCATCGCTCAGCCCAGCTGTCACTCTCACCCCTCGCTCCTTCGATGTCACACCATCAGGCTGGCGCGTGTCATTGTCTCTGCAGGGGCCGTGGCTTCGTGCCCGAGGTGACTGACAGCTGCAGAGAGGGCGGAGCCAGACAGACTGAGCGACTCGACCTCGTGCTCACCTCTCATTAATGCTGCTGGGTGATTGGTAGGTTGGCACGCTGCCTGTCACTGAAATCACTCAGGAATGGCCCGAATAACCGAATCACTGGTCTGAATCTGTAGGCCAGCCAGGTGATACTAATTTGAATCTGAGTGTTGATTGATAGATAGATGATTAATGCAGAGTTCAGGAAAAAATGAAAAACAAACAGGTAAAGCGTGACCAGTAGTGTGTACAGAATCAACTTAGCAGGCTGAATAACTAAGTATCTTTATCTTCTCAGTGATGCTACACAAACTTGCAATTTGTGATCAAGAAAATCAATATCCCATGCAAACTGCTTCAGCATGACTACCACTCTCTATCATAAAGAAAATGAACAATGTAAACAAGATCCCCTCAGTTATCTAATGAATGCACAACAGTGCCCAATAATGCACTACACATCCATCTAGTGCTGCTGTGGTGTGATGGCACTAACCAAGTTAAAACCTACACTGAACTATAAATCAATCGCAATGCAGTGGGTTTCTTCTGCGCAGCAACTCAACACAAAAGTGTAATAATGTCAGTTTTATGGGTTTAAATCTCTCTGAGGCCACTCATAAAAAATGAATGCACTAATGCAAAGGTTAGGTGCTTCGGATGAAACCTTTATTACGTAATGTCAGCAGGATGCCTGCAAAGTACTGGTTCTGCTTCTCATATAACATTCAGAGATTCATGTTCTCAGGCCAAAATCTGAAGGACGTGTTAAGTCAGTGGATTGGGTTAGGCATGTGTTGAGCTAGTCGATCAGTGAGCTAGTGAGTTGTTACGTAGTTAGTCAGTCTGTGACAACCTGCCGGGTAGAGTCTGGCTCGGCGCCATGTCTCTGTCAGCAGTTTGGTAGTTGAATGGGGCAGAGGAGGAGGGTGGTGAAGAAGTAGTAAAACGAGGAACAGGAGGAGGACGTGGACAGGGAAGGAACAGGCTGTGGCAGGAATGATGGGCAGCTTACTAACAGCCTTTTTGCGTCTATTAGGGCTCTAATATAAGGATAAGAGACACTATAGGATGAGGCGGTGGAGTAGTTGTCTCCTGGGCCTGTATCCGACCACCGAACACACACACACACAGAAAGACACAAAATTGAACAGAGGACAAACCAAGCCCTGTCTCTGTCGATAGTTCATAAAGCTTAACTTAAGCAAGCCAGTTGCCTGCTTTTGGCTTGCTGGCCGGATACTTAGCCGAAGCTTAGAGGGACTTGAGAAGGCACTGTAGCGCTGCCCCAGTAAACAACTGTGGAGGCCTCGGTCCCAGATCAACAACCGAACTCAATAACAAGCAACAAGCGTGCAGTGTGTCGGGGACCCATCTGGACACTGGTCGACTGAAAGCTGCACTTGTTTTTTATGCCATGAATTCCACCTTTGTTTTTGAGCCAATTTTGAATAATTACAAAAGCAAGGGATTTAATCAGGGACCAGCTGTCTGAAGCAACGTGTACGTGTGTGTTTTTTATGTTTGTGTGCGCTGATGAGGGCCCTGCATCAAAGTGAATCGGAATATCACAGAGGAGCAGCAATAGCAACATCTGAAGCTCGGGTTCCCTGTTAATATGGCGCACACCAGGACGCGCTGCCGTACATGCATGCACTCTCACAGGCGTACACACCCATGTGCAGACCCAGTGTTTATGCGTAAAGAGAAACACTGTCAGCATGCGGGGATAAGAGCAGAACCATCTGTCTCTCTATTACACATAGCTTGAATGTGCGAATGATGCTGTGTGGTTAATGGGCTCGTACAATGTGCTATTGTCTGCCAAAATAACACAATGAAATCTGGTGAGGTGTGTGACAGTCCATCCATCTGTCTGTCACACACGGCATCTCCGACACCACGGATCAGCTTTTGATCAAACTTTGCAGGAACATTTGTTTAACTGTATGTCGCAGAAGATGCTGATTTAATCAGATGCTGATTAAATCTTCACAAAAACTAAAAAACAAATGTCTTTGCCACGTTGCGACATTTGTAAAATTACTCTGATTGGACTACCGGGGAGCTAGAGGCTGTACTTAATTGCTGGACTTTGCAGAAACCTAAGGGAATGATGCATTGCACCATAGTTTTTTTTTACTTAAAAAAGTATGGCGACCAGGCAAGCAAAACGGGTGCATTACATGTTTGCTCAACTATGTTTTGTGCAAAATGTCACTCAGTAATGACAAAACTCTGTGAACTGATGCATTTAGCAAAGCACTCACAATTTGATGTAACTTCAAATGGCCCTGACATGCAAATACAGATTAAAAGATACAGATGTAAAACTATTTTACTATGCCACTCATGCAGCTGTCCAGAAAAGCTCCTGCTCATTTGCCAAAGCAAAGGATAAGTATATTATGAACTGTTAAATTTAGTGGAAAAGAAAGATGGTGATGAGCTAGCTGTAGCTGTTGGCAAGGTTTGTTTCAGAAATACTCTGCTTACCTTTCATTAAGTATGTTTACTTGAACACTAATATCATGTTTTATGGTGTTTTATTTTCCAGTTTTGATCATATTTGGTAAGATGATTTTTATACTGGAAGGAGAAACTTGGTCATTTGTATCTTGTATATATAATTTTAACAGTATCCAGGTCTCTTTAACATCTGCCTGCAGGTACTGTATGTCTTTTCACTCTTCAACATCTAGACCACACACTATTATTTCTGAGCCGACTGAGTCACCTCAGTGGTTGATGAAACCACTTTGGTTTCTGGCTGCCTGGACTCTGTTGCATTTCCCACTCATGCTGGATTTGGCTTCTCTGTTTAATCACCAGTAATGGAAACCAAGAGCTCTAATAGTTTATCCTCTGAATTACCAGTATTATGTTAGACTTTCTTTAGTCATTATTATATTGTTTATGATCATCCTCTTGTTTTACTGACTTACTACATAACTAAAGTTGAGGACACACACGGCAGCCATTGATCACAAACCAGGATAAGGTCTTCACATGCCATATACTGGTTTCAATCACGGTACTCCAGCTAGCATATTCAGGTTTCTCAAAGCAAAGTAAGGGCTTATACAGGTTTCTGAAACTACGATATGGTTTTACATGCTCAACCACATAAACAGGACACTAGTGAGCATGTAAACACAGTTATTCTAAGAATAAAATGTTTTGTGTATTTACATTAAAGCAACTAAGCATCTAAGCATCTAGCTTGTGGTTACCTGAGCGATTCGGCCATGCGCCGCAGGTCTTCATTCTGCTGCTTGAGCCGCTCGAGCTTAGCCAGGATCTTGGAGAGCTCCCGGCTAGACCGCTCCGGGTGCTCGCTGTCTCTCACCAAGTGACCACCGATGTAGAAGAGGAGCGTGCCCCAGGCCAACAGCACCAGGGTAATCCAACGCCATGAACCCGCCCAGGGCCGCATGGTTCAACCGAGCCCACCCGAAAATGCCTCTCGGTGTGCCTGTACACCCACCGACCCACCGGCCTGCCTGCCGGATGTGCACACACACTCTGTGCCCCGTCACCACAAGTGCCACAGTGCCAACCCTGGCATCGGCATCTTGGCAGGGATGGTGTTCAGTAAATTACAGATGAGATGGAAAGGCGTGTGTTTGTGGCTCAGAAGTGTGTAATAAAAGGCAGCGGGTGTTTCTCCAGCAATCAACCAGCCTTTCGTGTGTGTGCTAAAGCATGGCTAGCATGCTCTGAAGTCTGTGTTTTGATTGGTGCCTTCTCCCCTCCACCCAGCTCCGTGTTGACCAGCTTGTCCCACACAGTCCTGCTGTTTCCCTCCTGTCCCACGGGGTTCTTTTATTTGAGTTGGGTCCTGTAACAAACAAAGAAAGACAGTATTCAGTTGAGCTTCTTGCAGAAAGTTTTATCTTGCTAATACTTTATGTGCTTGTTGGTCAAACAGAAGCAAATTAAAATAATTGAAGAGCTGGGCCGGCAAGCCAGCTTGACAGACAAATAATGCTGAAGAAGAGAGCAGAGCCTCATACAGCGCCATACAGAAACGGAGAGCACAGAACGGGGCAGACAGACCGACAGATATAGGCAAGATGCTGCAGACTGGTCCCGACATAACCCTGTCTCAGCAGCCTACAGGATTGATCAGCATGACACAGCAATTTGCATTTACATAGTGTGCAGTCCCCGAGCTATGCTGCATTGCTGTCGAGGCAGGACAGGGATGTTCCATTTTTCCCGTCCTGCCTGCTTGCACATTACACACACACTTACTACTCATGCGCTCCCTCTCAAAAGCTCTCAATCGCACACACACATACAGAAGCCATCACACAACCAACAAGAATACATCTTTTATTTCCTCAACTCCTCTTACCGCATTCCTTAACCACACAGCCTACCACAACCCACTTCCAACACTTTGTCCCTCGCTCTTAGTTAAAGCACAACTGAGCCCGGCAGTTAATGGATTTGTTTGGAGGCAGCTAAATCCCACAAAGTTCTCCCAAAGCATTTTCCTCCTTCCCAAGTGCCCGCTGCCGTCCCTGTAGCCTCCATGACAGAGTGCAACATTGTCAAGGTGATGCGGTGAGCTCAATGGAGCGGAGGGAACAAAAAACCCCTGGATCATCACTTCCCTTCATCCCAAAGCAGCGGGGGAGATGGAGATGGACGCGTGCCGGGTTTATGAAGCAACCTTCGCTGTCAACTCCCCAACAAAGCCCTGCCACACAACTGAGACTAGTCGTGTGATGGGATGAAGACTGGCAGGTGCGTGTATGTGCACAACATCTAAGTCTTTGTGTATATGCGCTATCATCTCCAAGTGTGTACCACAGCATGCTGGAATAATACCAAACATCTTAGAGTTCATGTGAGTGGTGGTGGTGGTGTTGGGGTGGGCTTGACTGACACGTCGCAGTGTCTCTGGTGCTTCTGCCTGTGAGCGTTCAAGAAGACAGAGAAAAGTGTTCCTGCTGGGGTTCGCCTGGCAGCACAGAAGTAGGTTAACAGTAGCTCATCATGTTTACCATGGAAGCATAGTTGATATGTAGGACATAAATGGTGCCATGCTGTAATACCATAGAGACTGTTCATGCTTCACTGGTGCAAACTGCCCAGCATGTAGCAGCTGAGATCACTGAAACAATGAGGGGCAACCCATTCTCCTTCATATCTTATTGAATGATGTGGGATTATTGAAATTTGTGCAGACATTCCTTCCATGCCGGTGCTCCTGTTGTGACTAACCTAGGCTGACACAAGGGTGGCTCCTCTGTATGCATGCAGCACAAGGATGTGCTGAGCTGTGTTTTATTATGGAAAATAAGAGCTGCGAGAGGGTAGCACTCCACCAGCTAATGCACGACTGGGACTTTACTAAAAGGCAGGCTGCAAAAACCCTTGTCACTGTGTTTGAGGAGCCATAATGAGGTTTGTGTTCAGTAGACTAAAACTGATAAATATAAAACTGTTGGATGAGGCAGGGAACTGCTGCCAAATAGGATATGGGAACACCTCTAGCTAGTTGTTCTGCTTAATATTTGAAAGTCAAGCTAAGGTAGTAATATATTGGTGGTATATTAACAAAACCTTGGCTAAATTAACATTAACTCCTTGCAATTAATGGCTGACTGACGAGTCAGCCACAGATAGAGCTACATTTTTTAATACACATGACTATAACAAATGCAGCACTCCACCAATTTTATAATTTCTTTTGTTGCCTTAGAGGACTCTCCCTAAAGTCTGACAAAATAACTGTGATGACGTCATTGGGGCTCAATTAAGCTTGAAACTTCAAATATTTGAAAACCTGATTTACAAACTGGAAGCATGGAATTTAAAAGATTCAGGGGCAGGGAAGGTCTAATGAAAAACTCCACGGAATTGCATAATGGGAATTGTAGGATCCAGCTTTGAAGCTTCTCTCATAAGAACAACTAAAAAGTCAGGATCTCTCACCCTCTTCTGCTTTGATTTTAACTATTCTTTTTTTTTATTTGTCTTATGCAAGCTCCCCAGCTTCATGGTGCAACACTAAATTGCTGGCATACCCTTTTAGCCTTAAAATACAAAGCTAAAATCATTTTACAAGGTCAAAAGGAAAATGAACAGCATAATCGGATACAAAATATCAAGCACCCTGAAAAACATCCATCACACTAAAAGGTCATAAATGATGGTATTTGATCGTTGGAAATGGCAGGGGATTTTGCTGACCTCCCACTTTTAGTGAAACTGTTACATAGTTTTGTACTATTAATAACAAAAGAAAATTTCCCCTGTTTAAGTCTAGGTTGTAGAACAGTGAGAGCTAATCTGGTCACATTACTGGGAGCACACAGTGTATAGAGGTTAGGTAAAAGAACCTGAGATCAAGTGTTTGCAATTAAATATTGAAAGCAACTAATAATCATTATTAAAGAGATGTACTCTACTTCAGAGGGTACAAAACCTGTAGGATTATTGGTTAATTCTGTTAATTCAGTAATTGGAACATGAGTGAAATGGGATTTCCAGTTTCTTTCTCAAAATGCCTTTCAGCTTAAGTCTCTGCTGTGATGAAGTGGCAAAGGAGAGGAGAAACACATTCATGGTCCTTTCAATAGTTTCAGAAAGCTGTGTTTTATAACTGAAAAGGAGGAGGCGATGTCTATTGGGTCCTGTGTCAGCAAAATGTGGCCCGATTAAAGAGAAAATGACAATCTACTACAATTTATTCTATTGATGAAGATCTGGTGGTATAATATTCCACCAGAGATATAACCAGGTGCCCCTAAAGATTTTTGCATTTTCTCAAAACTCTCCCATTTGCCCTCAAGTCACCATGAACAGTGGGCAACATAAATAATGGAAATTATAATAATGTCTGTTAAATAAATAAATAAAAGCTCCCTACTGTGGCACAATCACTTATAAGTTGGACTGTGTGGCAGATTTGCTGACAGTGGGATTTCAGAGAAGGCCATATAGTGCTTATTTTTTTTTAATTCCACTTTCTACCACCAAGCCCCTCCTCCCTCATCCTCCGAGTAAAGTGGAAACATGATTGCGAGGTCTGAGCTACTCTGGACAAAATGAAATATGTCACTGCTTCTTTTGAATGTGCAGTCCTCCTACTTCATAAGTAGGAGTAAATGGGCCTAGGCTGTTCATAAATGGGACCTCTAGTCTGCTCCACCTGCAGACTTGTTCCCAAAATCTTCCTCTCAACCTTGCATTTCAACATGTGCATTCCCCAACAATGCCCTTTACCTTGCTGTCATGGCAACCGTGGGGACTGCTCAGCCGGTAAAGGCTGGCGTAGTACACGTGGTACTGTGGGGTGGACTGTCATCCCTGTCACAGAATGCCCCTGTGCTGCAGCAACATGCACAAGCCTGAGGGGTCAGCAGAGATGACCTGTTTTCAGCCCTGCTGGTTAATCTTCAACGTGACTCAGGCTGCAGCAGAGGTCATCTATCAACGCGCTCCGGTCTCCAGGCAATAAGCACCGCGATGAGGTCCACCACTGAATAATGCATGGAGCTCGGCTGAGGACGGCTTCTATTACACCAACATGGCCACTCCAGCTTGGGGACAACTGCAAGGGAGTGTCTATACCATACACAGTATATACGTGTGTGCGTGTCACTTCTCATGCATGATGGTGCAGGAGAGTGTATTAGTGTGTGTTGCTAGGGGCAACCCTGAGGGGAATGTTTAGCAGGATGTGCTACATGTTACGGCATGTGGCATGGTGGCAATGATGTGATGTGTGTGTCAGAAGAACAGACAGGTAGGAGGAGATCAGGAAAAAATGCATACCATAGCAGCACTGAAAGGATACCTATGGGAAACAGAACAAAATGAAAAAGCTGTTTGCACATCTATATCTGTGATGCAGAAATATCTACTTCCCAGATGAAGCTGAATGTGACCTACGATTGGACAGGAGCTGTGTTTTTGTGCTGATACTGTCAAATGTGTTAAAATAAAAAATGGATTTTTCATCCTGGCATATATGACCAGTTTCATTTGAGATGTCTGATTCTCAATATCACTTTGTGAGCACAAGGGAGCGGGCAGCTTGAAGGTGTTTGGACTACAGAAATGCAGCAAGAGAAACATCGACTCCAACTCTGGCAGCAATTTTTAACCATTATTTATCGAAGGATGGTTTGCTGAGCAAGCTGTTCTTGAGAAACAGTCTTTTTTATAGCCATAAAGCTACACTCATTTCCACCCGATAGCTGCCTAAAGTGGCCACAGTTTCCTGCAAATGGCCACTGAGCAGCTTCTCCGGCTATTTTCTCAGCTGGTCTGGAGGTTCAATCCGGCGACCTTCCAGCCTCTACCCCAGTTCCAAAAGGATGGATCACACTAGTGTCAGGGTTGACACATTTCAAATATAAGCACCAGAAGCGGTAGTGGATCCATCAAAGAATCAGTAGATCCTAATGTATTCATTCCAAAAACGCAGAAGCAACAGGGGAAAACAACACAACAAATATTTCATGTGGGATTATAACCTAAAATGTTTGTTCCCTTGTTTTCTGCCATTTGCCGCAAAAACATTACAATTAAATTTTGAGTGTGACTGATCCCCCCCCCCCCCC